CAACTCATTGTTATTTGAAGTAAGAACCCCATAGCTTCGCTATCTGGGGAAAACAGATATCACACCCGTCACAGATCACACAAGCGGTTTCAGCTTGCTCCATCTAGAGAGGCGCAAAAAGGATCCAAAAGACAGAAGGGCTCCCATGCCAATGGTTGAAGTCATTGATAATTTGCACTGGAAGCACGAAATCTTGTCACTCTGGAACGTCAATGTGGGTTGTGATGGATCTTGTAATACCATCTGGTCCATGAGTCCATGAGAATTCGCTTGCTGATTCCAGGCTATGAAAGTCGGCATGGTTCAAATGAACATAGCAAGGATTGCAATTTTGCAACAGTCGACTGCCGAGTCATTGTTTGTCCATCTGGTTTGAGTCCCCAGGCTTCCCACATCAAAAAGATCTATATTCTAAAATGAAAAAGAACTCACACCGCTGGTTGCCAAGTCTCGACGTGTCTTCGCCAGGATCTGCGAAGACATCCTTACGGACTGTTTGAAGGTTTGAGGGGATGGGTCATGAGTCATGACTATCATGTGACTCAAACAGAAGAGCGCTTGCGTACCTGCAAAAACTCATTGATAGCAGTTGGCCAGTTGATTGGCAAGCGTCAAAAAGGCATCCTTCTTCAGGTGTGCGGCCACACTTCCGTGGGTGTAAAAGGGGCGCAAGGTGGCTGCTGCTGTTGGGCCATTTGGGACCTGTCATGACCTGAAGCCAGTCACCAAGTCGTATCATTCGGTTGAGACGCACACACACACACTTAGATTGATGCTCGCAAGAGCTACGTCAGTGAAGATAGTCCACTCTAGTGATTACAATACCGGTTTAGAGCGCTGCACCTGAGTAACAGCCCTGAGAGGGAACGGAAAGGTGGTAGGGTCAGAAACAATATGGTTTACATCATTAATCGAACAGTTGCAGGTACGTCAGAGTGGCCAACTCTGATTTCACCAGATCAAATGGGCGTCTTCGTTGGTAGCGGTCCCAAGTGATCTGCCGCTACCCCCTGCCTTTAAAAGAGTTTGAGTGGCTTTGAACTAACTTGCAATGTGTGACAGCCTTAGAAACAGGCGTTGACACACACACCATGCCGATACCGGCGCTCAAGAGGTTTAGTAGCCACCTGACAAGCCTTAGAAAGAAAGAAAAAACGAAGAGGGCAAGAGAGAAAGATAGATGTAGTTACGAGGCCCACTAGTTACGAAACCCTCTAGCTACTGAATACTTAGCCGCATGAACTAAGTGCAATAGTTAGCGAGCGAGCCGTAAACGGCGCACCCTTGACAAAAAGTTTACCTGAAACCTAAAAAGACTCTAGCAAGCGAAACAAAGACCTAGAAAATGAAAAGCAACAGCAGGAGAGAAAAAGAACCAAAAGAGATTACTTAGCTGCACGGTACGCATCTTTTTCATGACATGTGAATACTTAGCGGCGTGGAGGATTCTCCAATGTTTTTAACTCAGTGGGCCCTGCGGCATTCGATCAGCATTCTCAAGCAAACCAAAGGAGCCAGTGAAGGTCAAAGTGAAGTTCACGTGAGAGGAAAGAGAGAGTCAGTACAGTCCCCCAGCTTGGGTCTATGCACATGCTGCGCCCCTTGTCGGGGATCACACCACAGCCCACTGCGGCACACACTTAGATTGATGCTCGCAAGAGCTACGTCAGTGAAGATAGTCCACTCTAGTGATTACAATACCGGTTTAGAGCGCTGCACCTGAGTAACAGCCCTGAGAGGGAACGGAAAGGTGGTAGGGTCAGAAACAATATGGTTTACATCATTAATCGAACAGTTGCAGGTACGTCAGAGTGGCCAACTCTGATTTCACCAGATCAAATGGGCGTCTTCGTTGGTAGCGGTCCCAAGTGATCTGCCGCTACCCCCCTGCCTTTAAAAGAGTTTGAGTGGCTTTGAATTAACTTGCAATGTGTGACAGCCTTAGAAACCGGCGTTGACACACGTCCAGGGCCTAGGCGGCCTAGTGAGTTGACATCTTTCAGTGAAAAACTCATAGTCTGTGATGAACTGTCTAGGGCCTAGGTCAACAACCTGGGGCCACTGCTCATTCAATGTCCTTCCCTCAAACCAGCAACCGACTGATGACTGACGAAAGAACTCAAGTGTGGTTGCCCTAGAATAGCCCGACTTTCAACCAGAAAGCGAAGAACTCGAATATAGGGGCTGTAGCTTGCCTTGCCGGAAAAGGTTGTCTTGATCAATAATCCAAGTCACATTCTGACTCACCCTCTCAGTGAGATACAAAGTGTTCCACTTTCGCGCGTCCACCCCCACCAGGAGCTTGTACCTCCATTTAAGCATTTGTTCAATCTGCTAAGCAGATTTGGACTCTATCTATATAACTTGGTGGGCCTGTCAGTCGGCATATATTTTATAGTGTTGGTGCTTTCTCCCACTGGTTGTGGAAATAGGTCACAAAGCGCAAGTGTCGCTGAGAATGCCTGTCGCTCCTCCCCCAGTTGCAAAACCAAACCGTCAAACTCTTGACACATCTACGTGGCTGTCTCTTGTCTTCACGCAGCATGCACAAGTCCACAGTACAAAAAGGTTCTACCTCTGGATGAGTCCAACAAGCCTGCATCACCTACCGCATCCCCTTTCTCCTTTCTCCTTTGGACTCCCTCGCCTCCCACGGATGACGCCGCCCACAAAGGTTTGTCCGTCACCGTTGGGGGTTTGTGAGGAGGTCTCGCCGACAATGACTTCATCACGTGGCGACGAAGCCGTCACCCCGGAGAGCCAGGGCCAAACATCCTCAACTGCAAAGAAACTGGCAACGTTTTTTCAATGCCAATTCCTCAAATCGGGTGAAGAAGTGTCACACACCGTGATTGTAGCTCCATATCTTGCTGTCCACCGGCCAAATGGAAAGTGTTCAACACCACAGGCTCGCTAGTCACAAGTAGCGCAGGGGCGACGGCAACCACACAAGGGACGTTTTGAAATGCCACATGGCTGGGGCCAAGGCTACTCGGTCAATATACTCAACTACCTGAAGCTGAGAAGCCAAGGAGTCGTGGGGTGGTAAGCCAGCAGCTTTCGCTTGGTGATCTTCTGCATCGACACCAGCCAGGCCTGCATAGGTGGCATACCTGTTGCAACATGGCAAGTTTCATCAGTGTTGCAGCACTTGTCGCTCCTGGAACTTCAATTATCAGAATGCAATCCGAAGGGATCTCATCGTGTTGTCCACTGGGACGCCCGGCCAGTCCCAGGCCGTCACGAAGCCCTCTAACTTGCTGCCACGACCTGGGGAGCTTTGAGAGCCATTGGACTTGAACTGTTTCACCCCCAGAGCTTGTTTCCTGGCTCACCTTGGCCCTTTAAATGGAGAAGCTCAGCACCTACCTTTGCTGTGCACCATCCTGCAGCTTGCAGGCCAACTAGCAGTGCTCAAGTTGGCGTCAGGTTTCACCACATTCTCCTCTGGGGCCTGAACGTCCTGGTGGCACGTAGCCGCCGTTGACAAAGGCATTAACGCCTTGGCGCCAACTGTTTGGACAACTAAGACTCAAAGTCTATATAGAGTCTAAGACTAAGATCCTCAAAATATAGAGATTCAGATTCGAACAGTATAATGGGCGTTCATCTACTTTGCAAAATTACAATCTTGATGTGGAGAATCTATGAACTTCTCGTCCATTTGGAGAGGCTTGCAATGGTAAACACAAGCTCCAGACTCAATGGTTGAAACAAGGCATGTTGCAGGGACGGGTGCATCCTTTCATACTAAGTGACACAAGCAGAAGGTACCATGAGCTACAACAGCTATTGCAATTAGTCAAATCTTACATGCAATGTACAAAGCAGAAGCCTACAGTTGGAAACCTACTTGAGCAGACAAGTATTCGCACACTGACCCCCGATCTATCACATTCCTCTTGCTTGGCAAGGAGCGAATGCCACCTTCGAAGTTAGAGAACTTGCCTGGAACGTTGCGCTCAAGTCAATACGGACCGATCTCTATCTATTCTCTTCTTCAGCCTTAGCTGTTGGAGGCCATTGCTATTTGGTTGGAGGCCATTGCTTTTAGATTCCGTATGCTATTATTGAAGTTTCGGAGGCCTTGAAGCTGCACAACTTGGAAGCTCACTAAATGGTCAACCGACGTGATGGGCTGTCCGTGAGCCCCTCTTCGCACGGTTGCTTACTTATCAAAATTACACCACCGTAGACCCCAAACAGTTTGTTTTTTTCAACATCGAAACTAGAGCTTGCGACGTCCAGAGCTGGGAGACAAAGGACTGCAAGGCAGAGGCGGCCACAGCAACCCAGAGCTGGGAGACGAGTGTAGAGGATTGCAAGGCAAAGACGGACACAGCAGTACAGAGCGGGCGGACACATCTTAAGAAAGAATTGAGAAGCCCTGACAGTAAACCTCTTGGGGAATTATTCTTCAAGTGCGAACATGACGCTGGTCATGCTGCTCAATCAGCAAGGAGCTGACCGCGTGAGGACAAGAAATAAAAGCGTGAGGAGCGAAGGATGTGACATGAAATTGATGTTTGGTGCCTGACGCATGCCCTGAGACTGTCACAAAATGCAATCCGGTCATTCATGGAACGCTTGCCCGAAAAGGAAAACAAAGCTGAGAGAGTTACACAGTGTGGCAGGAATGCACTCCCGGAGACAGTCACGCGGCAGAAAACAGCAGCGCAGGCACCAGGCAAAAAGACAGAAGTCGCATGGGAGACAAATGAATAGAAATGCTACATGGCCAGCGGAAAAGGGCGGCAGCACCAGTGTAGAAAGCTGCATGGCCAGCGGAAAAGGGTGGACACCAGCAGTGACAGACCTGGAAAACAAATGAATAGAAATGTTGCATCCCCAGCGGAAAAGGGCGGACACCCAACAGTGACAGACCTGGGAGACTGATGCATGGCCGACGGAAAAGGGTGGACACACCAGTGACAGACCTGGGAGACAAATGAATAGAAATGCTGCATTGCCTGCGGAAGAGGGCGGACACCAGCAGTGACGCACCTGGGAGACAAATGAATAGAAATGCTACCTGGCCAACAGGGCGGACACCAGCAGTAACGGACCTGGGAAACAGATGAATAGACATGTTTCATGGCCAACGGACAAGGGCGGACACCACCACTAACAGACCTGAAAGACAAATGAATAGAAATGCTACATGGCACCAGCAGTGATGGACCTGGGAGACAAATGAATAGAAATGCTTCATGGCCAATAGACACCAATGACAGACCTGGGAAACAAAAGAATAGAAGCGCTACATGGCCAGCGGAAAAGGGCGGACACCACCAGTGACAGGCTGGGAGACACACGAATAGAAATGCTGCATGGCCAAGGGACAAGGGCGGACACCAGCAGTGACAGACCTGGGAGACAAATGAATAGAAATGCTACATGGCCAACGGAAAAGGGCGGACAACGCCAGAGATGGGAGACAAATGAATAGAAATGCTACATGGCCAGCGTCCAAGGGCGGACACCACCAGTAACAGACCCGGGAGATGAATAGAAATGCTGGACACCAGCAGCGACAGACCTGGGAGACAAATGAATAGAAGTGCTACATGGCCAGCAGAAAAGGCGGAAACCAGCAGTGCAGGGCTGGGAGACAAATTAATAGACATGCTACATGGCCAGCATAAAAGGGCGGACACCAGCAGTGACAGGCCTGGGAGACAAATGACGCAAAAGGGCGGACGCGGACACCAGCAGTAACAGACCTGGGAGACAAACGAATAGAAATGCTACATGGCCAGCGGAAAAGGGCGGACACCAGCAGTGACAGACCTGGCAAACAAATGCATAGAAATGCTACAGGACCAGCGGAATAGAAATGCTGCATGGTCAGCGGAAAAGGGCTCTGCGGTGGTAAGTACACTGAGACTAACCAGATCGAGCACGCCTGGTAGCAGACACACGCAGCAATGGCAAAATGGTTTACCAAAGTCTTTTCTACAGTGAGGACCCATCCTGGAGGGATGCGGATTGCCACGCCAGCCTGCGGATTTGGGTCGTGCTTTGCAAGAGAAGCAGCAGACCTGGGAGGCAAATGAATAGAAATGCTACATGGCCAGTGGAAATGGGCGGACACCAGCACTAACACAAAGGGCGGACACATCTTAAGAAAGAATTGAGAACCCTTAACAGTAAACTGCTTGAGGAAAAACAGCCGGGAACCCGACCAGAAGCGCCCAGCCTGAAAAGAAGTGGGAGACAAGCCGGCCGGGGACCCGACCACAAGCACCGAGCCTGGGAGACAAATGAAAGGAAGTGGGAGACAAGCCAGCCGAGAACCCGACCACAAGGACAAATGAAAACTTGAGGCCAAGGGGGGGGGCGAAAGCTAGCGCTCCAGAATGGGAAAGTGGAGGGCAGCGAGGTAGGAAAAAACACGGCGCTCTTTTTGGAGGCAGGGGTGAAAAGGAAGTGTTGCGAAAACTAGAAGCCCAAAACTGTAGACATTCTCTCCATAGAAGTGTGAAGAGTCCTTTATATGTGGCTCTTTGCCCGGATCCTCCTGCGAGAGAAGAGAGAGAAGAGAGACGGAAAGACGAGAGACAGAGAGGCGAGAGAGAGAGAGAGAGGAGAGAGAGATGAGAGAGATGAGAAAGAGATGAGAGAGATGAGAGAGATGAAAGAGATGAGAGAGGGAGGGGGGGGGGTCTTCGACCTAAAACATCAGGGGTTAGGATTTGCACCCGCGTAGAAATGCTGGACACCAGCAGGGACAGACCTGGGAGACAAATGAATGGAAAATGCTACATGGCCTGGGAGACAAACGAATAGAAATGCTACATGGCCAGCAGAAAAGACCTGGGAGACAAATGAATAGAAATGCTACATGGCCAGGAAAAGGGCGGACACCAGCAGTGACAGATGTGGCAGACAAATGCATAGAAATGCTACATGGCCAGCAAAAAAGGGCGGACACCACCAGTGACAGGCCTGGGAGACAAATGAATAGAAATGCTGCATGGCCATCGGAAAAGGGCGGACACCAGCAGTGACAGACCTGGGAAACAAATGAATAGACATGTTGCATCGCCAGCGGAAAAGGGCGGACACCGCAGACTGGGAGACAAATTAATAGAAATGTTGCATGGCCAACGGAAAAGGGCGGGCACCACCAATGACAGACCTGGAAGACAAATGAATAGAAATGCTACATGGCCAGCGGAAAAGGGCGGACAGCAGCGGTAACAGACCTGGGAGACAAACGAATAGAAATGCTACATGGCCGGCGGAAAAGGGCGGACGCCAGCAGTGACAGACCTGGGAGACAAATGCATAGAAATGCTACACGACCAGCGAAAAAGGGCGGACACCACCAGTGACAGATTTGGGGGACAAACGACTAGAAATGCTGCATGGTCACCGGAAAAGGGCGGACACCAGCAGTGACAGACCTGGGAGACAAATGAATAGAAATGCTCGGACACCAGCAGTGACACAGGGCGGACACATCTTAAGAAAGAATTGAGAACCCCTAACAGTAAACTGGTTGGCGAAAAAGTGGGAGACAAATGCAAGGAAGTGGGAGGCAAGCCGGCCGGAAACCCGACTACAAGCACCCAGCCTGGGAGACAAATGAAAAGAAGTGGGAAACAAATGAAAGGAAGTGGGAGACAAGCCAGCCGGGAACCGGACCAGAAGCACCCAGCCTGAAAAGAAGTGGGAGACAAATGAAAGGAAGCCGGCCGGGAACCCGACCACAAAGGAAGTGGGAGACAAGCCAGCCGGGAACCCGACCACAAGCACCCAGCCTGGGAGACAAATGAAAAGAAGTGGGAGACAAATGAAAGGAAGTGGGAGACAAGCCGGCCGGGAACCCGACCACAAGCACCTATCCTGGGAGACAATGAAAAGAAGTGGGAGCCAAATGAAAAGAAGTGGGAGACAAATGAAAGGAAGTGGGAGACAAGCCAGCCGGGAGCCCGACCACAAGCACCCAGCCTGAGAGACAAATGAAAAGAACTGGAGACAATTGAAAAGAAGTGGGAGACAAATGAAAAGAAGTGGGAATTAAATGAAAGGAAGTCGGAGACAAGCCAGCACCCAGCCTGGGAAACAAATGAAAAGAACTGGGAGGCAAATGAGGAAGTGGGGGACAAGCCGGCCGGGAACCCGACCAGACCATCCAGCACCAAGGCGACCATTCTTTAAAGCATTGAGAACCCCTAACAGTAAACTGTTTGGGGAAAAATTGTCCACTCCCCCTGTCATGCCACGCCTCCTCGCAGGGGCCAGTTGTTTCCACCACAAATGCCTTTGGCCATGATTTCTCCGCCATTGTCGCTGTGGAACACAACTAAGCTGTTGTTCCACATACCTCTCTCCTTCCCGCATACAGACGAAAGCAGGCTGAACCGGGAAACCGGGATTAATCATTGAGTAATTGGCTGCCAGCCCTGCATGATGCTTTTTGATTCTGCCGCCATTTCAGTAAAATCTAGAGCATCCCTTGTTTAAAAACAAAACCAAGAACAAACCTGCATGTCCCCGAATGAGAAGCAAAGGTTGTTTTGGACCTGACTAAGGAAGACAGAACTTATGCAGGAAAGTCCCTTAAGTATATATTTGCCAGCCACTGCTTCCTTCATTGATGTTGATGTATATATACCTTTTTGTATCATCCATGCCGCTAAATATCAACTTCCTTCTGCTTCTGTTCGCTGCAGCAATGCCTTTGCTCCCTTTACTTCCCTGAAGGCTGTTTCTGGAGTAAGCCCACAGTCACAGTCATCTTGAATCTACTTCCTGGCAATCACTGTGATACCTTACAACAACCAACTTCAAAGCACCGCAAGTCAGCGACAATTGACCCCCACTGGAAGTAGATTCGAATGGATTCCTTGAGGAGATCAACCACCTCTCCAATTTCATCATCCATGAAGTTCACCATGGCGTGCATCAGCCGGCGGTGCTTCTCCTTGATGAACGAAAACCTGCCGTCGAGGCGTCCAGGCCAAATGAACACCGAAACATCGGACCAAACGAGCCCCCTTCGTAGTGTCCTTGCTCCTAGTAGTAAGGCACTTGTTTCTACTAGCTTCTTGTTACTACTAGTAAGGCACTTGTTACTAGAAGCGATGCACTTGTTCCTAGTAGTGTCCTTGCTCCTAGTAGTAAGGCCAGGAGAGCTTCTTGTTACTAGTAAGAATGCTCCTAGTAGCGATGCCAGGAGCCCCTAGTAACTAGTAGCATCCTAGCCAAAGAGCTTTTTCTCGTAGGCTTCTGGAATTTGCAGCGGCATATGCACCAGGTGCAGTGCCCAGAAGAGGAACAGCCTCAGGCTGAGGAAATTTTTGGACTGGCATGTCGTTCTAGGCGTGGTACTAAAAAGAACTTCCCCTCTGCTGCAAGTCAGGGAACGGCTCAGCAACGTTGTGGTTTCGGATCACAGATTTTGCGGCCTCTGCGAAGAGTGCTTCTTCGAAGACACAGGTCTCATTGACAGGGTTCTGATTTTCTTGAGAGCAAGACGGGCCATTCCTGACAGTTGGCTGTCAGCGATCAGTGACCCTATTCACGTAGACACCACAGCAGAGGAGGACACCATCGTTTACTTAGCTTGGATGATCTAATAGTGGCCTGTAGAATAATCCAAGCTTCTTGTTGTTACAGCTCTTTTGATATGCTTGTTAATTTGCATAAGCAGCAATGCCAGCGTGGCCGAGAGTCTGCAGGTGATATGCTGGTCCATCATAGCTGGCGTTGAAGATCCAAAGATCGCGCATCTTCTTGAGACCGCACATGCCCTCCTCAGTGGTGGTATGTTGGTAGCTCACTGCAGTCTGCTCCGGGGGTGATTGACACGTTCAAAATACACAGTTTGAAATGACCTTTATGTTTGCATATACCGTCTTCGTGTAAGTAATTGTGTGATTATCAAAGAAACACACACACCAAAAAAAGAAAACAATAAAGAAGATCCCAGAAGAATGAATATCAGACAAGCCTCTGTGTGTTGCCAATAGTCATTGGTATGATGCCAATATCCAAACCAGCTTTCATATCCTCGGGCCCTCGGATGATGAGCAGCTGTTGCCATGCCGACATCCCACTTTCCCACCATGTGGGTTCGATAGCCTCCACGCTTTAGAAGGCTTGCGATGCCGGTCATGTTGATGGGGATCCCCTGGCGCAAGCCGGTCTCTTGAGACATCTTGAGACATGGATCACCACCGGTCATGTTCTTGTTCCTAGTAGTAACAAGTGCCTCGCTAGTAGTAACAAGTGCCTTACTAAGTAGTAACAAGAAGCTATTAATTTAAATTTATGAAGGTGATCAGACGAATCAAGCCAAGCCCTTTCAGCCTGAAAGCCACCCTCCTGATCCTTGGAGTTCACACACTCCGGCTTCACGTTCTGCACATTCACATGGACCGGGTTGCGACCCGTTTGGATGGCGCTTCGGGCCGGTGAGCAGAACTGGTAGCTGTAGAAGCGATCTAGCTCAATGCCAGACCTCAGCCGTCTGGGCCGAACTTGGAGCTTTGGCGTTGGCGGACTGTCATGACAAACCTTCCAACCTTCAGCGTTAAACGGTGTTGAAGTTGGCTGTGTTCTACAACTGTTGTTTTGGAAACAAAAAAACGACCCAAGTTGTTGCCTTCCCCAGCACAGTTGGTCCATCCCAGAAAGCCCAAAGAAAAGCCATCTCAGCAGCCACACCCTCCATGTTCTCCTAGCTCCATGGCATTTGAATGCATTTGACTCGAAGCCTGTCCCATACCCTCAAAGTGCTCAAATTCGAGTTTGTGTTTCTAGATCTCGCCTCGCCCATATTTTGCAGCACAACGGAACCATGCAAAGCATCCAGCCTCCCCAACCTCCTGAACTGGTCGAAACGAGCCGAAACCGGGCCCAAAGAGGCCTCGCCAGTGCATCGATGCGGGGCGTTTTGACATCACCATCGTCCTCACGATGGTAGCCTGTCATGTGAAGGGGGGTCTAAGCTCCATTGGAGTAACGTGTTTCTGTTTTAGGTGCATGTCATTCAAAGGATTCTTCTGCTGGGGAGAGAGAGAGAGAGCGAGAGCGAGAGAGAGTGAGAGTGGGAGTGAGAGTGTCAGAGAGAGAGAGAGAGAGCAACATCGACAACGGCAACCTGGCCATACATCACTCGACTATTTCAGCATGCACCGTAGATCAGAAAGAACGCCCTTTCTGGAAGGGACGACCTTAGGGGACAATGACGACCACCGAGGACCGCACCCACTTCTGCCCAGCCCATATCATCCGCCAGGATGTGGATAATGTGCGGCCGAGTGGACGCCCAGCAAGGTACCTGAGGGGCAGGTGAAACAAACCTGAATGTGGGATCAACAAACCTTTGTGGTTGCTCCTCTTTTATTTCGGGAGACGGTAGGCCACTAGAAGAGATAAGAAGAGGTAGTTAGTGGAAGAGTGACCACTAGTAAGCTACTACCTACTGGAAGCAGGACAGCTCACGCTTCTTCAAGGAAGCGCTCGCACTATTCATTTGGAGGTAGGCGAACCCGGCTTTGTTCGGTGTGAAAAAGAGAGATCCGTGCACTGTCAAGCGACCAAGAGTTCACAACAATTCACAGGGGATGCTGCTCAGACACGGGCACCCCCCAAGTCAGATTAGGACTAGGAGGAACATCAAAGAAAAATACCATCAGGCCATCAACCATGCTGAATCCAACAGCATATTGCCCTCACAACAATTTGAAGTTCCCCCGTTTGGAATGTGGAGACAAGAAAAGCTCCCCGCGCCTACACACGGTTTCGGAGTCCAAGGTGCTGTGAGAATTAACAAGCAAATCTTCTCCATTGCGCAAGACCAACGACTTGCTTTGAAAACAATGGTTGAGCCAGAACGCTCCAGCGCGTGAACCACCTTGGACTCTCAAACGCGGTCAAGACCGGCATCCTAACAACTGCAGTAGTCGAACATTGGTCCGAATCTAGACCCCAAGAAGTGCTTGCCCCCAACCAGGGCCCACCTTCGAACAATGCATCTCACAATTAATACAAGCTACTACATGTTTACTAGGAACAAGAAGCTACTAGTATGAAAGGGCATCGCTACTAGGAGCAAGGACGCTACTAGTAACAAGGGCATCGCGACTAGGAGCAAGAAGCTATTAGTATATAGCTCCTGGCCTTACCACTAGGAACGCTACTACAAGGGACCTCACATCTCAGAGTGCTCTAGATTCTCAGATCCTTTGTTGAGCTTGGATGATCACAGGATTTGGATGAGGTGGATTGGAATCCGCTGCACCTCCGATGTAAACAAAGCTTCGAAGCACAGGACAGAGAGTCCTAGTGTGATTGTTGCGGCAACAACTCACATTAGAGTCACATTGGGCTACAACCCCATTGCCTGCAAAGAATTCACTCAGGATGTCTGCCAATACGAGTCACGACTCCTAGCAGGTCCTTGATCCGCTTTGAAGATCTTAACTTGGTCGTACCTGTTACAGTGTAGGTAGATCGACTCCTTGATCGCTTAGTAGTGTCCCTGCTGTAGAGAAAGTGCTTTGGTGCTCTTCTACCAAGCTCGGACTTCTGGACCAGGCGAAGAAAGCTACGCTGGTGCCTATACAGATGTTAATGGTAAACGGTAAACTACTATTCTAGGTATCAAGCATGCTGCGCACAGGGTGTGTGCAGAAGCACCATTCTAGACAGGGTGTGGTGATCTAACTCAGGCTTGCAATGAGACATGGTATCCTCGGAAACCGTCTGATTTAGCCTCATCAAGCAATTTAGTCACGGACCTGGACAAGCAAAAATGTAAGGTGGCAATAATGGCTTCCCTCAACAAGAATCTGTTTGCTAGTAGCTGGTGCGACGTTCATCAAGTACAGCCAGTGTCTTTTAGGGTGAGGCCATTGGAGCACTCTGGTCAAATTTGTAAATCTGATTTTCCTCACTGACTGCGAGAAGGTGATATGGTATTCCAGCATGTATGATGGAGACACACCGCAAAGGGATGATTCTGAACTTACAAGTATACTTACAAGTCAGCCTCGCAGCTTTTGTGGCAATCCCCAAGATAATAGGAGATCTTTCCTTCTGCAATCTAGGATGAGCAATTGGCTTCATGCTCTCATCGTTTCCAGACTCTGCGGCTGCATGATCTTTTTGGCTGCATCAGAAAGGCTGAGCTGTGGCTGAGCTGGTTGGCACCTACAGGAAACTAGGTCCAAACTCAGATCTCCAGATCGACAAAAGTGAATCGACCAAATATACTTGGCCAAAATGTGCTGAACTCCTACTCTGAGGTGTTGTGCGGTTGTGCGATGCACCTGCTCAATTACATGTACATGCTGTAAATGTTTCTTTAAAGGAGTCGGGTCAAGAGAACGATCGCTCTGCCCTCCCGGCCTGGCTAGGAGCGGCGGCAAGCCCAAAGCCCTACCAGCACAGCCACGGCTGAGGCGGAGAGCAGCACTAGCCTGAACCTCGGTCGGAACGTTATGTTCACCTTGGTGTTCCCCGGTGCAAAACGCAGAAGAGTTTCAAGTATTCACCAATGAATTGCAAACACGACTTGCAGCACGCGACTCGCATGTATGTTCTCTGGGCCCAAGAACTTGCAACACGGGCACGGTTCTTCTGTGCGTCATTGCTCTTGGGTTGCTTTGTTGCCAAGCTCAGTATGAGACTTGATGATGTAGTTTATGATGTCCATGTAAGGTCCATACACACAAAAAGCTTCGGCTTTGGTGACAACGCTTGTCTGACGCCAAGTTGCTCCCGTTTGGACACATCGCCCCTTTCGCCCCCGAGGCGCAAGAACAAGTGCCGGCGCACGGCTCGCTGGAGCGCCTGGAGGACAACGTGACGACTTTGATGAATGGAAAAAAAAAGAAATGAATTAGGTGTTAAGTTTCTTTAAATTGGATTGTATTTTAAAAAAAATACAAAAACACCTGGCATGATAACAGGCTTCATGCACCCACCTGCACCCATGGATCTCTTTACTTAGCAACTTCGATAAATATGCACCCAGAAAACCCAGTGAAGTGAGTGTTTGCCTGAAGTTCGTTCTTATGGCAAAATCTAGAACAGCCCAGTGCCTCCTCGGCCGAGATGATCCGTCTCTTCAGCACGGGCTTTTGCTGGCTCCTCGGCAGAGCTGGAATCGGCAATGCAATACTCGGAAAACCAGGCAATGCAAGCGAGTTCCAGCTCGCCGCTTCTCCAACATCAAGCTAGCAAAGCAGCCATTTAATGGTTGGGAAAACTGTTCGTCCATCCAGCCTAGTAGTGTTATGTACCTCGACAATCATAGTGACTGAGTAGATTGGAGTTGTTTGGACTGAAGGAGCAAACAACCCCTGACTTCCTCAGCCTTGCAAAGGAAGTTGGATGAAGCAGTCCCATGATACCAAAAAGGTTGTGACCCCTGGTCCGCACCTATATGCAAGAATGACCCAAAGCCCTTTTCAACTTTAATGGAGTTTCCCACCATTCAGCACTGGCTGACACGTCACTTTGGAGAGTTTGCTGCTTCGGCTTCCAATTGCCTCGGCGACTGCTGCGGGAGGAGCTTTAGTAGATTTGATGTTTAACAAGCTTGTCCAAAAGATTCCGTGTCCATGTGTCAAACGTTCATGAGTCGTGAGATAAAACATAACAGGCTTCATGTAAACAAGCTTAGCATTCTAATTACGACGCCCCACAGGAGTTGAAACAGAATTTGTAGCACGTGCCCTGTTCAAAGCTCCATGAAGATTCCCAATCGCATGAGCTCACACCAGCTTCCTTTTCTCCATTATCGATTAGGCCTCCCAACCTCCTCCGCATCAGAAGCTCCACGTTGGCCGATGGGAATGGCCCTCTCGGGGTGCCCTGGACCAAGTGTTTCCTGGAAACGCAGCCGATGCACGACTATCTCTGTGAAGGCCCAGGGACACCTCGCGATGGCTGCGCAGCAGGCCACATCCCCGACACTATGACCCGCACACGTATCCCAAACACGTCCTCAAGGGCATGGTTAATGACTCGCGGTCATCCACAATCACCTGAAGCCGAAACGTCTTGGGCCTTTCTGATGTCTTTCTCACATGAAAAGTGAACCTCTGGCGAACGTTTCAAAATTGGACGGTTTCTCATTCCAACTTCCAAAGGAGATGGACCACCGGACGCCTCATGAAGCTTGTCTTTGAAGCTGTAAAGCACATAGAGGCTGAGCTCGAGATCCAACTTCCTTGGCTGTGGGACCGAAGACATCCTACAGCCTTATTGCAAACCGGAGTCCACTCCTGAGGCACAGCTCTCTGGACTACAAATATCCACACTGCATGAGATGATCAACAAAAACATGTCATGAAAGCACGTTTCACATAAACTCAACTACACTACACTTTATGGAGGAAGCAAGAACTGAGCAAAGAAAAGAAGCACAACAAAGCAAGGCAAAAGTTTATTTTTAAAAAAATATAGAAACCGAATGCATTTAACGTTGAGAAGCTAAACTAGTAGTTCCTAGGTTTCTTGTTAGCCCAGCCTGTGGTCTGCCCCCCCGCGTGGCCTGGCGTGAAGTCACACCGAACACCTTCGAGTGCCGAAGCTCAGCGGTGTGGGGTTGTAGAAGCCCGGGAGATCCGCCTGCAGTGCACAGAACAGCACCAGGATCCAACAAGCCTTTGGGGGTCTGGGAAAAAGCACGATAATCAATTGAAACATATCGCTTGCGACTACTGTCCTTGGGACTCTGATCCTCTGCAGGTGATAATTTGCCGTCTATCTGCGTCTCGATTGTAAATGGTGCCCCCTTACGTAGGTTCAAGTGTTTGCACGTGTCAAGACCCCAGGAAGATCTTGACCCTGAGCATCACTTTTACATAATGGTGATCCAAAAATCTAAATGCTAATACTAAATGCCACCCGCCAAGCCACCGGACATCACGTGTGCCACAAAATGCTGCATGGTGCCTTAAGATGCTGATATGTACGTGTCAACTCTGTCTTGGCAGACATGTACGGCCCCTTCCCCTTCATCTAACCTTCCGGCCTTCGAGGAGGTCGAGCTCCCGTGCACCACAATGCTGTGTTGCTCCACCAAGCATTGCACCGCTGAGGTCACGTCGATCCAGGGCCCCTGCAAATCTCCAGGCCCGATCGTCCTCACCAAATGGAGAAACCGCGCCACCGGAGAAGGGGCACGGGTCAAACAAAATGGTCTGTTTGGTGGTGGTTGTGCCGAAGCTCCAAATGGAGAGATCATGGTCAAGATCCGTGTATGTCTTCCCACCCCTGCCTGTCACGTTTGAGAGATTCATGGAGAAGCTCCTCCCGCAACTGCAAGTTCCCATACAGGGCCTGCAAGATCTCAGTTCTTTGAGGTGGAAACTGAGCATTGGATTCACTTGTCAAGTGCAAAATGGCTTCTTCATCAGATGGTCGTAAGATCAAATGGCCACTGACTATGTTAGTTACAGGCATTGGATGGCATTGGTATAGTTCTCTCCTAATGGCAAACAACAAAGCTCAGTTGCTAGCCTCTGTTGCACGTTTGGGTGGTCGGAGTGGGTGGACATAAAATTTGATGAGGGATGTCTTCACCGGTTTCACTTCTCAGAACCACGGTTGGATATGTTATGCCTTTCCATGGCCTTCCCATTGCACACAGCAACACAAGGATACAGAAAGGTCTTGGGTATTTGCCCTGCCTTTGTTTTACGCTCCCTCTCCTGCCCTCAACAGCAGACACATTTTTCTGTCCCTAGATCTGCAGTCTACTGTCCCTAGAGTTGAGGATCAACGTATACAGTCCTATCTAGAGTCTGGAGACTGTCTGGTTTTGTTGCTGGATTTCACCCACTCCTACCTGAGTATGAAGCAATCCTCCCAGAATCCTCCCAGCTTCCAATCGGAACATTTGAGCTCAAAGACATGTGCTCCGGGACTCCGGCTCTCTATTCCAGCTGAATGGACTAGATGTCCAAAAGGAACACAAAAGGAAGGCAAAAGGAAGGGAGCCGATGATTTGCAGCCTGACAAAGAATTGAGACGAGTGGGCAAGCTGCCCTCTGCTCGGTCCACATCGAAATTGTGGCGCAGCTAGGATAGAGCCATCGGGCCAGAGATGTCTTGGTGAAGATGGCTAGAACGTGAGATAGCATCCGGCTCCTTGCTGGGCATCTCTGGCAGCTCGTAGAAAGTTGGATACATCCAATTGTCTCAGGCTCCTGGAACCCTTCCCTTGACAAAACTCAGAGGCATGCTTGGAGCTTGCCATCACAAGTCGGAAGTGCAGTGGCAGAAGTCGGAAGCTGTCTTGCAGTTGCATGGAGATTGAAAAGCCTGGTGGCCTAAACAAAGGAACTGTTTGTCAATGTTCAACTCTAGGGCATGCCTTCCAACATCCAACACAGCTTGTGACAGGTCTGCGGTCTGCGCCAAAAATTTGAGCACCTACAATCTGCTCCGCTCAGAAGCTTTGAAGGAAGCGCGAAAAAGCTCCTCAGGGTATGATGAAAGGCTCAATACTTCAAGACCTGAGGACTACATTCTCATGTTGATGCAAGGCACATTCCAATGTCCCCGAAAGCGAACAGGTCTCAATCCATTTTCTTAAGAACAAACGCCAAAACCAACAAAATGGTATTGTATATATATATAAAGAGGGAAACGGATCGAACCATCGGTCCTTTGGGAATAATGCTTTGGAGACCGGGTCTGTTGCCCACTCAGATGAGTTCGATAGCATTTCGCTGGCTAACCAGCCGATGTGATCGGAGCTCTTGGCGGCCCAGCCATTGCCTGGAACGGCTCAAGCTCTTCGGGCAACAATATTTTCCTCCTCTGATTCGTTTAACATATATATTCAATTGAATTTGAGTTCAAGGGAGCATCACAAAAAATCGCCGCGGCAGGATCTTTTTCTATTTCAAATCCTGCGGAAGTCTATTCCACCCTATGTGGTCCAAAGAAGAACCTTCAGGATCACGGAGCATTTCACTATGGACAAATTGAATTGAATGGATGACTGCCCTGGCTAGACAGCTGCCTCCACTGGCTACTGCCACACCCTTGTCCAGGTAGTCGATGTAGGGTCGGCGCTGCCCTTGGCCATTTGGATGCGTATCATCCGTGATACACACTATGGTGCTCACATGGCCAGTAAAAGTGACACCTGGCAACATTGGCAAGATCAGTCAGGATCTGGCAAGTGTCTTCGAAGCACCAAGAAAATCCAACAAGGATCTTCCCAGCACAGTGGCCCACCGTCCGTCAATCAGCATATGTTGTTTACTGTCTTCCCTCGAATCCCCTTGGGAAATCCCCCCGAAAGCCGGTCGCCTGGAAAGTATCTTGCTGCCATCTGCTGAGCGACGGAGACCAGCTCTGGTCGAGCTTGCTTCGCCTTCATCCAGTTGAGTGCCTCTTCTTTGGACTCCAACCTTTGATTGAGCATGTTGCCATCATAGCCCATCTTCAGGTACCAGCGCCCGTCAGGGTATTTGATGGGTGGAAGAATGTACCAGAACTCTTCGGGATCCTTCGGCCCTCGAAGAATCAACACAGGCATAGAAGCCAGCGAGGTGGCGGCCTCTGGCGTCACTTCAAACAATACTGCCTGGCAGGGTTTTTGTGCATCCAATCAAAGCCAAACCAGGCATTTTAAGTATATGGAACAAACTTCATAGTATACATGTCTACTAGTCTGCTCATGCCTGTGACATCTGAGTTGTGATGTCCAACGACTTGTCGGGGACCAGCCACTTCGTCATCCAGCCAGCAGCTAACACAACCTAGAGCTCACACGTTGGAAAAAAGAAGGGACACATTCTAGGGCTTGCTACAGCAAGTCTCTTGCCAAGTGGTATGCAGCCCCTGTGCGGTCCTCATTGCAACTTTCCTGATAGGTCTTGGTATTACACTGCAGGTCCTAACTTGAACAAGCTGAGCAGAACCCCCTTGGTAGAGGAACATGGTCTTTGAGGGGCCTATGTTCCATGCCTGAAGGAACTGTACCCTAAATGCCTCATGCCTGAGCAGCTGTTCCTACAACTTGAGAGGGTGGTCAGGAAAGAACAGGTCGGAACTTTCTGTGAAGCAAGAAACCTTTTGAGCCTCGACCTGCTGGGAGCCCTCCAGGTGAAGTATCCAGTGATCATCCTGCCAAAGGACAGGTACTCTGCTTTGAAATTACTTCTCTTGCACGCAACAGAACAAACTTGAAATACGTGCAGTTGGAGTATTGACATTGGATATTAACTTGTTGGTACACAAACACCCTTCACAATGCACCACTTCTGCCTAAGGACTCTCTCCCCTCAAACACTCTTCATGCTGATTGCGCTTCTCTCTCTTACACATATGCATTCTACTCGCCTGGGGCTCGGCTTGCTCGAGGTTCCGGCTGATCACATCAGTTCCGTTCCTGCAAGTTCTCCCCTTTGATCCATGAACCGTCTGGAAGAATATGTTCTGGCACGCTGCTATACACTGTTGTATCCGCCCTAACAAATGATATTCCTAGATAGAAAGAGCTACAAACAAATTCCCACACTGCTGGTGATATTGCTTTGACATCATGTTTGCATCACTCCTCTTGGCTAAGACTGCTTGGATCTTGGCCAATGCACGGGGGCTCAAATGTCCAGCTTTCTTTGGCTGCCAAATGCCTTTCCAAGAGTGTTCGTCGAAGGGGAGCCTGCAGTTCGGCTGGAGCGAAGTATATATAATATATATGCCGACTTAACCCATGTCTCAAGCAATGTACCTTGCATGCTGAGCATTCTCAGCCACACTCGAGAGCTGCTGTTATCAGACCTCTTCAGTTTCTGGCATGAGTACTCTGAGCCTCAGAAAGGGGAAGTGCTCCTCTAATGCCTCTTTACCGCTGTAGACGAAATAGTCCTTTCCTTCCTTGGTTGCGATCTCCGGTGCATTCTATAGATAGCCACAAACACAAAGTAAGCACCTATCAAGACTATTGACCCCCCTCAACCGTACTAAAAATGCGCAGATTGCTGTTACACCCGTCAGATTCATACTGGGATGCTGTCATTGTGTGTGTGTGTGCCCCTAAACTGCACTGTTCGATGTCCACATGAACCGTAAATGAATAGAAAACCATAGCAGCTAAGCCATCTGCTACTCCGCGAGCCCGTCTGCCCCTCCGCCAGCTACGATCTCTCTCACCTCGCGCCCCAGCGTCAGTTCCGAACTGGGCCATGGTCTCTTCAACTTGGCGGATGTACTCCAGAGCAGGGTCTCCGATCGCCAAGAAGCCATTCTCTTGATAGAAGCTCTCACCGGCTTCATCTTTGATGGCCTTGCGCTTGCACACGAACTTTCACCACAAGCAATACCCTAAGTGAGATGGTTATATATATACAGTTATGCCCCTTGATTCTATGTAGGAATTCGCCATGTACAATCAAGAAGCATAAAAGAAACATACACACTGGCACACCGAAGACGCTCTGGACCATAAAAGACTCACCGAATTGGTCCAAGCAGGTGGTCTCGGTGTGAAAACAGAGATACTTCGTCGGTCACCGGGCCTCGTACTCCTTAATCGAAAGGTCCGCCAGGTCAGCCCAGACTTTGTCGGGGTCTGCAATCCGATAGATCCCTGGACGGGCAGAATTCCGTTTGGATCAGACTTCAGACTTGGCAGTTGTGTCCAAAAAGAAATGGATTTGCTGAAGCAGCAAGTCCAACATGCAGGATTACTAAAGAAGAGAGCCTACCTAGGTACACTCGAGGTCTGGACATCCCAAATTCTTCAGCGAGGAAACATGAAAGGCAAAGATTCTCCCACAGTCAGTGGTCACGCCAGGGCTCGGCCCTCGTCATAGCATGCGCCCAGGGCGCCCTGTGCCTCTGAACGACCCAGCAGTGCCACTCGCAGACCCTTGGCACTGAGGTACTTCGCACAGGCCGAGCCGATCAGCCCAGCACCCACCACAGCCACGTCGTACATGGGAGCGAGAAGGTCGGGAGCGGACGACCTTGGGCGACCTTGGGCCTAACAGCAACTCACAAATCATGGTGGAAAACATGTGACGGTGGGGGATTGGTAGTGGGGTTGGCCAATTGACATGCGACGTGGGCAAATCAAGTCATCTTCTCCAGCTAGCCAAACAGCTTGAGACTTGCAATGCAAATAACAACAGGACAAAGCCAAACTCTTGCAAGTGCACACTAGGGACTAGAACCAGCTCCAAAGCTGGTTTGAAGGAATTGACCCATATTTGCAATGGAAACTCAATGTGTGTGTTACACTTATCGCTGTCACTTATTGCTGTGACCCTCTTGCACAAGATCTTGTTGCCCTGTGAAACTTCCAGACTCCTGCTTCACCTCCACACCTGCTTCACCAGGATACCATGCTTGCTGCGCTCTGTCTGCACAATTCGCTGCAGCTGCACCTCCATGTGGGATCTTGGGCACCCAAAACCAAGCCGATGGGATGCAGTGTGCAGCCCGGTGTCCAATAGTGGGTTTTGAGGCTTTTGATATGTCGCGCTCCTCGACAAATCTCAAGAATGCCTTGTTCTATGAAATGGACGGCTGAACAAAACTGGTCAGTCTGTTCAGGCAACGTTCAGAATTCAGACATCCTGGCTGTGCCAGGTCCAGGCCTCCATGTTTCGAAGGTCAAGGTGAGCCTGGTCCTGAGCTCCACGACAGCCGCAACAACGGACCAAACTGGAAACCGCTTCCCCTTGCACAGCGAAGTCTTGAACGAAGGGGTCATGCAACATGGCTAAGGGTTTCATTGGCCTCAGCTGAATCCAAGCCCCACAGCCCCGTCCATGCACGCCTTCTGCCGAAGCAGGAGCATCTCCGGGCTGCAGCCCGGCGACCCGTCGCCAAAGGTCCGCAGGTCGTAGAGCAGCCTGGTCCACGTTCGTTAACGGCAACGGACCACGGCAAGTAGGCGCGTACTTCATTAAGGGAGTCGTTGAAGGATCTTCGCTACTAGCAATAGGACGCTTCTAGGAACAGGATGCAGGATTTCTTCAAGGAAGCTCCCCACGCCTGAGGGGGGAGCTTCCGTGAAGAAGCTGATCTTAAATCTTCGCGTGGGGTCTGACCTTAAGTTAATTTCAGGCAGGAGAAGGTAGAGAAGTACCTGTTTCAAACAAACCTGACAACATTCTATCATAGCATCTGTACAACGAATGCTCTATGGATTGCTGGTGGCATTATAGACGGTACCTAGTCAAGTCTATACTATGTACAGTCCCTAGTAGCGATGGCCTCCAACCTACTAGCGATAGAGTCCAACCTAATAGCGATGGTACCTGTGACTAGGTTCTTTGACTCAAGATCTTGCCACTCGCACAAAACTTGTTGCGGAGATCTTCTCAAATTCTGCTAGCTATGGTGAAACTGAACTTCCAAATCCAAGTGCTAAAGAAAGAAACATCTAGCTTGTCCTAGCTTCCAGGTTCTAAATAAGTGGTGAGCGGGACCACCGACGTGAGTGCCACTGATCTGAGTAGAATCTTCACACTTGCCTTGTGTGGCTCCATGTCTTTTAGCAGCACAGCTTAATGCCAGGAACCCCTAGTAGCTTCTTGCTCCTAGTAGTATGTACATAAGAAAGTCACATATCCAGCAAATTCAATTTTGCGGCAAGACATTGATCCTTTTTGGCTAAGCTTTGCAGTCTGTTGCAAACATCAACTACAGTTCAGCCCTTCAGTGTCTATCCGTACTTCACACCCGCACCCACTGCCTTCGGGTGGGATCTGAAAAACACCGCCAAGCCGCCTGCACCTGAACTCGAGCTTGCAAAACTGCACTCTGGAGAGTATCTCTCGTCAAAAGCCGAACGAACGGCTCTCACTCAAACAAAGCTGCGCCCATTTCACCGCGGGGCGAGGTGCGAAAACAGTAAGGCTCAGGGATCCCTTAATTGGGCCAGTCAGGCGGTTGTGCCAACATGTCAGGGATTTGACTGCATGAATTTCTCACTGGTATTTTCTTCTTTGGCACAACCCGCAATGACCGCCAGCAACTTCTCGTTGCGAGGGTGCTCGAGGAGGATGGCAAATGGGTCGTTCAGCCACCTCCGAAACGTGGACCTCAAGGTCTCGCTCACTTTAGTGAGCCCGTCAGCAAACTGGCAATTCGACGGAAGCCAGTGCATATGAGACTTGTCGACCGTCTCCTGAATTGCTCTCACGTTGCAAAGGGACCTTTTGTCCGTGAGGTTAGGTGCCTCGCTCACCACTGCATCGTAGAGCGATTTCGCGTCCGTGGTCTGGACATAGTCGACCATGGAGCCAAGGCGGTGAGCCGGGCCATTGAAGAGGATCTCGGACAGGGCCATGTTCAAGTAGGCCGCTCGGTCTGAGGCCTCGTCTGCTGCTGAGGCTTCGGCCGCTAATGTGGATCTGCAGACCCTGGTCGCCCTGCAAGACCTCCAGTCCAAAGGCGAGAAAGCCGTGGGCTGGCTTCGAACCTCAGGAGGGCAAATGCCGATGAGGATGCCGATCTGTGAGCCGCTTCGAGCGGCGTTGCACCATGAGGCGTCACTGAACGTGACGATGACGGTCTTCTGGTTCATTGGGATGTCTTGCATCAAGAGCCCTTCATGTGGGGAGCTCTTCAGGTAGCTCATGGCGTCATAGAGGTCCTTGAGGTTATGGCACGTGGTCTCTTTGCCTTGGTTGGACAGGCTGACCACAGCTCCAATTTCTGGCCTGCATTGTGTGGATGCCCACTGCAAACAGCCTGACACCGATCTGAACTCACGGTGCTCCAGAGGCGTCAATTCTGGCGGACTGGAAGTCCTTCCTCTCGGGAGCTTGGCGGAGTCCAAGCCATTGATGAACTTGGCCATGGTGATCTTCAGCTTCCAGCGCTTATTCTCCAGTTGGTGGAGGTGTAACTCTTTGCCCTTAAATGTGACCACTTTGTTTGCAAGGTCGTGGAAGGAGCCCCAGGCAAAGGCATCTTTGACTTCCTGGATGTTGTAGTCACTCCTGAAAACACCCAAAAAATCATCAACGTAAACCAAAATCATTGACACGATCTGCTGACCTTCACGCTTGATGAACAGCATTTGGTCGAAAGTGTGGCGAGTGTAGTGGAGTCTAGTCAGTCTTGCCACTACTTCATTGCACCACAAGGCCGGTGCATTTGCAAGGCCATAAATGTTGCCCATCACCTTGTATAGAGGGTGTGACCAGCATGGTGTCATGTCGATCAAGCCGTCCTTTGGAGGGTACATGTACAACTCCATGGGGCGCTCTGAGGGCTGCTGTCCCTGCAGGAAAGCCGTGGCGGCGTCTGCCGTCCAGGAGTGCCATTTGAGCTGTGTGTCAAACAGCTCGCAGTTCGCTCCGGCCGTGATCATTGCCAGCATCAGCATCTCAGTCGTTCTGCCTGGTGTGGGAGCTGACCGATCTAGAAGCTCTAGATCTGGGTCTAGGTGGCCTAGGCACACGACGCGGCACTTTGCTTTCAATTCGCCTTGACCAACGTTCTTGTCACGGTAGCATGCCCTGGATCTGAGGATCCTTTTGGAGAGGATCTTGTCGCGGAGGACTCTCTGGGCTTCTTCTCGAGTCAGCGGCTTCACACTTCTCCACTCGGACCAACTGTTGGCTTCCTTGATGATGGAGTCGAGGAACTTCTCCACATAAGGCCTTGGCATGGATGCTATCTGCCTCCAGGGGATTTCCCTGTCCAGTTGTTTGGCTTCTTGTCGTGTCATGTTCCTGCTGGGTTTGTCTGCTGGTGTGCTTGTTGACTCGTCAGAGTCTGCGCTGGTGTCTGATTCTTCTGCTAGCTTGCTTGTTCCGTTGACGTCTTGCTGTCTCTGCTGTGTGGTGAGGTAGATCTTGCGGAACCTGCAGCTTGCTCTGCCGAACCCTTGTGGTGGTGTGCCTCCCCATGTTGGGTTCATGGTGGTAATGGTGCCGTCTGCCTCGTGCAAGAGTGTGTGCAAGCTGTCAAACGGTCGTTTCTGTGGTAATGTCGGCAGGGGTTCCTGCTGTGCTGCTTCTTGCTCTGTGTCCGGTGGTAGTTCAACAGGTATGCCAGGAGGTTCTGCCGAATGTTGTGGACCCTGCGAGTGTCTGCCATGTGCTTCTGCGGCTGCCGATGCTGCTACCACTGTGTCATGTTCCTGTTGGTGGTGTAGAGCATTATGTCCCTCGTTCTCGGATGAGAATGGTGTGGTAGGGATGGCAGGCGGGTCCTCTGCCAAAATGGCTTGTTGGTGAAACTGTGTGCCCTGCGGTGATGTATGGCCCAGTGTGGCCGTGGCATTGTCTGCCAAAGGTGGTGCCGAAGATTCGGCTGCCGGTGCAAGTGCTGATGTATCAGCCAGTGCTGCCTGTGAGGCTTGTTGTGCAACTTCATCCGGCTGCGTTCTAATCCCCTTGAGGGATGAAGCGGCCTGCGATGGAAGTGGTGGACTCTTGGTGTAGGGTCCATGGTGTCGTCGGGATCTGCTCAGAGACTTGGGAAGGTCTCCAAACCTCTGCATCTGCACCGTGGTGTGCTGGTGATGGATGTTGGTAGGGCTATCGATGTTGACGTGGATAGCCGTTGCGTGCTGGTGAGCCACTGGTGGCGGTGTTCCAGGCGCTGCGGTTGTTGGGGCCGGTGTCGCTGGAACCATCATTGATGGCGTTGGAGGCGGTGGAGCAGCATCGTACTCCAGTGGTGCATCTGCCAACTCTTCTGGTGGTCCGTCTGGTGGAGGTTCGCCTCTCTCATCTTCGAGCATGTGCTGGGTGAAGGATTCAGCCGCATTCTTCAATGCCTTTATGTCTGACTGGTCAGGTGTCCAGTCTTCGAATCCATGAGCTGTACGGAGCTGTTCTGCGGTCACCAACGTCGTCGAAGCTCCCAACCTCACCCATGCTTGCTTGCCAGCATGGCCTGGATCCCATGACAGGAATCTTGCGGTCAACCATGCTCCTCTTTTGCGAACACCTTTCTTGGACCAGCGCCAAACTGCGCAGCGCTGACCCGGTTGAAGATCTGGTATGGCGGTGTTCCGCGTCTTCCTCAACAATGCCCTCCGCAGCTGTTGACTCGCATTCAAGTCGAGCAAACATTTCTGTGCTTCACTTCTCACGAGCTCTGCGCGAAGCTTGGGGTTGTAGTTCTCGTCGAAGGCCTGGGTGGAGCTCGAGAGGACATGGTCGTCAGAGAGGACGTCATTGGGAAGGCGAGGCTGCCTCCCAAACACTGCTTGATATGCTGAGCGGCCTCTGGAATAGACCATGTTGTTGCTTGCGTGGCAAGCTCCGATGAGGATTCGTGGGATGTCCTCGGGCTCGACCGTGGCAAATTGGTCAACTAGCTTCTCGATTGTCAGTCTCAGGACGGCGTTGCGCCTCTCCACCATGCCGATCTGGAAATGTGCTTCTGGGGCGCAATGCTCAACCATGCATCCCATGCTTTGGAGTCTATTCTCAAAGTTGCCTCTGAAGGTGTGGTCTGGATCACACCTCAACAAGAGTGGGACCCCAAAAGGCCTCAGCCAGATCTCTTCCAGGACACGGAAGGCGGTGTCGGCATTTCTGTCAGGCATCAGTCCCGCCATGTGCAAGCCAGTTGCTCTGTCGATGACTCCGAGGATCAGATAGGATTGGCCGGTCAACAGGCGGATGTAGAAGATGTCCGCTTGAAGCTCATCGCCAAATTGGCCAGCGACCATAGAAGGCATAGACGCTGGTCGTGGTTCTTGTGGTGGCTTCAACCGACGGCATGTGGAGCAAACTAGTCCTTGCACTGCTTTGATGACCAGTGATGGTACTGAACCCTGTGAGGCTAGTAGACGAAGAAGTTCTTGAGGTGAAGGGTGTCCTAAGTTGATGTGCAACCGTGCCACTGAGCGCTTGATCACTGGGTCCAGGGCTTCTTTGGTGTCGAAAGAAACATCAGTCATGAGCCCTGGAACGATGGCAGGTTTGTCTTCACCTGGTTGGGCTTGTTCTCGATGTTCAGGGGCCTCTAACCTGAAGCCGTAGGCGAACACTGCAATCTCTACTGCCTTGCTGAAGCGCTGTCTTGGGAATTGAATTTCGTCGAGGTCTTCGACCTCCACTGCCCGTGTCTTGTCCGCATACTGCAGGAATGCGGCGCGTGTGAAGTACTCATCAACATTGGCCGGAATCCTCCGGCAAGTTGGGGCAAAACATGCTTGTATCTTTATGGCCTTGATCCTGAAGAGCTGCTGAATGCTCTTGCCCATCTCGGTGTCCAGAGGGATGTCAAACGGTCTCTTGTTGGAACGCTCATAGGCTCCAGAAATATAGTTGGAGATGTCATTCCAAGCGTCCAAGTCCGCTGTGGGGTAGGAGATAGCAAGGACATGGTGAAGTGGTCGTCCAAAACGAGTGGGCTCATGCTGAAAAACTATTGCTCGCAACTCTTGCAAAATCTGCCGGCATAGGTTGTCCGGGTAGACTTGGCTCTTTCTGGTGATCGTGCCCTGAATGGGGATGGGATGCAGTACTGCTTCTCCAAATCGTCCAGCCTGCGATGAAGGGCAAGATCCATACCAGGAGCATTGCCTATCCATCTCATAGGTTTGCAAAGGGGCTGGCCATCAACCTCCGCTCCATAGGCACCTGCATCCAGTGTAGTCGACCAGACTCCTGGTAGCGCAAGAAGTTCTTGTAGTGCCTGTTCTTGCCATAGTGTGGATCGGAGGGGGTTCTCGATCAAGAAGTAACGGCCGTTCTTGCACTGCTCCAAGGCGACGTCCGTTGCGAAGTGCACGAGGGGCCGTTCTTGCCGTTGGAGTTCTTTAAGTTGAACTTGCCGTTCAGGAGTGGACCAGTTGAGGTTGATGGAGAACTGGTTCCAAAGGCGGCAGTCAACACCCATAGGAATCAACCACGGCTTGAACTTCTTGACCTTTTCCATGATGTAGGCCCTCGTGGAGGCATCTTTGAAATCCTGCCCGTAACGAAGGTCCTGTGGTTGGAGTGCATTCAGGTCGTATTGGTGAGCCAATTCTGTCATTCTGGCTTCACCTGCAAAGAGTTCCCATAGGTCAACACAAGGAGGTGGTCGGTGAACAGCATGATGGGTCTGGTAAGTGGAGTTCTCGACGGTGTAGACCTGAATGCCCTCTTCATATCGCCCTTGAGCCGCTTGGCTGTGCCAGGCTTCATGTCGAGGCGATGGGAAGTGGCTCTTCCATCTCGTCCACAAGTCCCCAATCGAGACTGTCCTCCTCTTCCCAGTCCTCGATCTGCCACAAAGCCTCCTCCGGGATCACCCCGAGGTTCACCATTCTCCGGACGCGGATGATGTTGGCGTCCCGCTCCAACTTCTCCCTGTCCTGCCGGAAGCCCTCCTCGTACAGGAAAGCGTGATGCGCCCAGCTGTGAGGTTCCCGATCCAGTGGTGAACCCTGCTCGCAAATCTGGAAGACCTCGTAGTCCTGCTCCGGGGTCAAGTGGTCCATCTTGAGGTCGAACTCCTCCCGGAAATTGGTCCAGTAACGAGTCTCCGTGCTGGCGCTCGAAGCCGCTGTGGAAGAAGTGGTTGGCTTCGTGGTAGTTCTCCTCTTCATCTTGGGCTTTGCCTTTGCCTTCATGCCCTTCGGAACCTTGGTGTCCTTCTCCTTGCTGGAGGGCGGTAGTGGCAATGGCGACGACCGTGCAGAGTAGCCTGCCGATCCAGCCCATACGACCCATTCCTCTTTGCTTTCGTTCCACTTCCATGTCCGCATGCACTTGCGGCACTTGCCGAAGCGACCGTGCATGTTGCCGTACCTCTTGATGTCCTTGTGGTCGCACTTGTCTGGATGAGGGGGCACGTCCATTGTTGGTGGAACTGCTTCTGCCAACCATGCTCTGGGCATGATGTGCATGCGCACTGCCGCGGCCATCATGATCCACACGTTCTTCTTGAACTTGTTCAGGCGATGCACCATTCGTCCCCAGTGGATCAGCCATGGTGCTGGCGTCGACTGCATGGCCGGGCTCCGAATTGGGGGCGATGATCGTCAGATGATCCTTCATGGGCTTCGGAGGCAAAAGAAGCTCAGGATCAGGGTCATGCCAAAGCTCTTGGCTGGTGAACTCTTTCCAAACATGCCATGAGTGAACTGCTTCGTGATGAACAACGTCAAAAAGTGCAATACAAAAATGACCACATCTGACATGTAAAGGAACCGTGCAACCCAGGCTGGTAAAGCGAACGGACCGATTCGGGAGATCGATGATGGTTCCAAGTTTGTCCATGAGGCTGTTGCTCCCGAGAAGTGGAATGTCCTCTGGTAGAAGTCCAGCTCCCAACAAACAGGGGTTGCAGTCAAAAACCGTGGGCATGTACACACGAGTGGTGGCGACCGTAGGGCTTCCCTTTCCGAACTGGTACATGTCTTTGGTGGGGATCGTGTGGCAAGTCATGAAGTGGTGCTCCAAAAACTTCTTGTGGTGCTCAAACCAAATCTCACCGCAACAAGTTCGCTGACAGGCGGAGTCCAAAACCATGAATCCTGCGAGGCTTTCCCCGGTGGTGTTGTTCTTGATCTCATGGATGGTGAAGGGGACCGAGACCATATAGGTAGTAAAGCTCATCCCATAAGTGGATTCGGGCTCATCGGTGATTTGCAGGCTTCCATGTTCATGGTGTTGGACTACGCTGACGTGGTGCGGCTTGTCACCCTTTTTGGCTGGCTGAAAGGTCGAGGAGCGGTAGGAACTCGAAGAGCCTTTGGCAGTTCCCTTGGATCCCTTGCCGCCCTTGTTCATTGGGCACTCACTATCGGCAGCCCAGTGTCCCAGGGCTCCACACGCTGAACAATGCGTGACTTTGCGGAGCTCCTCAGGAGTCTTCTTGACCTTCTTGCCGCCGGTGGTAAACTTGCGGCCCAATGTCACACCGCTCAACTTGCGAGCCGTCACTGTCAGGACATTGGCCAGTTCTTGCAGCTCAAGGTTTCCCTGGTCGTCGTCTTCTGCATGCTCAGGTTCATTGCCTTCTTGCTGTTCATCTTGTTCTTCGTCCGCCTCAGGAGGAGTCAAGTCTCCATCAGCGGCCTCCAGGTCCTCGCCTTCAGGCTCCTCCTCCAAGGTCTCAGCAACGAAGACCCTCTTGGGCGGATAGCCCTTTCCTCCTCCGGAAGAGCGAGAAGACGGTGCCGTTGATGTCGTCGAACTGGTAATCGATGAAGTCGATGATGATGATGCGGTCTTGCCATGCTTGCCAGTGCCCTTACCTTCCTTCGTGAAGATTGGTGGAGGTGGACGAAACTCAGGCCACTGCAATGCAAGGGTCTCTGCAATGGTCTCGAAGGCCAAACTCTGTTGGGTACCTATCAGGACCATCCGCTGGTCGGAGTGGCTCAACCCGCTCCTGTCCAACAAGCGGGAGCCGAGGGCCTCCTCGTCGAAGGTTGCCGTGATCTCGATGCCGACGGCCCGCAGGGACCTCATCACCCTCCGGAATCGAAGGACATAGGCCCGCATCGACTCGCCATGGAAGCGGCGCATGTTTTCGAAGTCCTGGAGGAAGCGACGCTTCTGGTAGATCTGTCTCTGCTCAAATGGCCTTTGCAAAAGCTCGAGGATCTTGGCCACGCCATTCTCGACGTAGAGTTCGTCCACACTGAGGTGTTCAAGTTCTTGTTCAGGTTCACCGCTCAGACTATTGTACAGCAGGAGCGCCTGATCTTTTCCCGAGGCAAATGGCCGCATCTGCAATTGCCAGATCTCAATCTTCTTCTTGTACTTGGCGAAGGCCCTCAAGTCACTGGCATCATACTTCCACAATGGGACCGGTGGATACTGACCGGTCTTCCACTTGATCCCAGGCTCAGGACCTTTTCTGCTATTCCACGAAGCTCCAGTCTTGTCGGAGTCATCGTCCTTCTTCTTTTGCCCACCAGTGAAGCTCATGTTGGTGCCATGTAGATCGGGTAGTGCTGAATCGACTTGTCGGGGTAGGACAGCTGGTCGTGGTAGTCGAGGGCCAGCCTTGCCGGTTACCGGCGCATGAACTGGTTCTCGAAGATCAGGAGGTAGACCAGGTCCTGTAGGCTTCTTTGGTCCTTGACCAGGCTTTGAAGGGCCGGGAGGACCGGCATGAGGAGCTTTGCCTGTCCTGGATGGTGCCGGTGATGGTTCGATCACCGGGTCGTGTGTCAAGGCTTCTGATTCCGCACGTTCGTAGGACTCCTCCAAGTCGAAGTCATCTCCACCATCTGGAGGACTGTCTGACGTCCTCTGCTTGTTCTTCTTTCTCCTAGATCTTCTCGAAGCCCTCGAAGGTGCTGAGGAAGGAGAGGAACCTGCAGTATGGGGAACAAACATCCAAGTGCCAGTGGGAGTGACCGTCTTGGTGGGGTAGCGCACGTTGTGGTAGTCAGTGGAGCCACATGAAGAACACTTCCATCCATTCTCTAGCTGCTCAAACTCATGCCCATGGCACCTCAAGCAACGCCAGGGGCCGGGCTCATCCTGGATCGCATGCTCGGGCGCTGGAGGCGTCAGAGGTAGGAGAGGTGGAGGGCCGTCATCGAAATCTCCATGGAAGTCGTAGTCTAAGTCCGCCATCTCGTCCACCTCAGAAGCCCTCATGGAAGCACCGAGCACAAACGCAAGGCTCCGGTGCCAACTCGTCAAAAGCCGAACGAACGGCTCTCACTCAAACAAAGCTGCGCCCATTTCACCGCGGGGCGAGGTGCGAAAACAGTAAGGCTCAGGGATCCCTTAATTGGGCCAGTCAGGCGGTTGTGCCAACATGTCAGGGATTTGACTGCATGAATTTCTCAGTATCGCTAAACCTGGGAAACCACGGTAGCTTGTGCAATCGACAGTGGCTGCGTCACATAGAATGCCACAACGCCGAGCCCTTCTGCGTCCGATTGGCAGTAGCTACTTGTTAGCAATGGCCTCCAACCCAAGAGCGATGGCCTCCAACCTACTAGCGATGGCCTCTGGACTCCAATCTACTAGCTAGTAGCTTACCTCCTCTGGTGGCCTACCCAGGACCTACCCGCCCCCTCTTCAACCAAGCAATCCCTTTGCGTCCGTTTCGCCTCGTAGAAGCGCTCCAGGTCGCGTTCACTGGATTTTCGCCGGTCGGGGTGTAAGCTTCGCACTATCTCGAGGTACCTTGAAAGAGTGCTGCGCTTAGTCAGTTGCGCTGTGTCGGTTGACGGATTGGTTGCTTCCTTTGTTTGTGTGCAAGATCTGTTAATCTCCTTCTTGTGAACACTGTCCATTGTACAGTAAGATGTTTTCTTGCATGTTCTTGCTGGGGAGGGAGTCTATACTATCCAGTCCTGTTCTGCAAAGGAATCCGGCAAATCGCGTGCCAGCAATTTGATCTAGGGTACCCTTCCAGTGGACATGCACTGTGTCTATCGAGTCTATTGTGTTTGCGCTTCCCCATTTGTCCCAGATTCGATCTGCTTTTCCAAGCTCAGACACGTCTTTCGGATCTCGTCATCTGTGGCAGTTCTTGGCAAGCCAAGGATGTCCTGGGTCAGGAATGGCGGAGAAAGTATGATCCGCGATGCTAAGCTTCTATGGCTCCTACAAAGCAGTTCTGTCCCTGCTGCAGTCTTTTGTTGAAGTCACCTGTATGGCAACAGACTACTACATGTCGCCTTCAGTGGATCTCCCCTGAACACCCTCAAGATTTGGCAGTGCCACAGCCTGCGAAGACCTTGATAGCCGAAGGCAAAGAATATGTTTCTGGATGAAATACCCAGTGTTGCAAATGATTGGAACGAAGCTGGAGAACAAATCGACCTGCAATCAAGCATCGTAGTAGTCACGACTGGATGCTGGTGCCATCTTCAGATTCTGAAGGGATCTGTCCGAGACAGTTGCAGGGTTCATGCTAAGGTTTAAAAAAGTGCGTCCTGTTTCAAGAATAGCGTGACCTCTGATGCGTCAAGACTTAGAATTTCCAGCAAGAAATGTCTGCTTACCACAAGCTGTCGAAGTGCCCGCTTCTTTGGTGGAGGAGCATGCGGGATGTGGCTGTCGTGCTGTGCTGCTAAAGTGTGTAAGAAAGTTGCTGCTGGTTGCAGACAAACGTGTACCAATGCCGAGTACAACAATTACAGTAGTAAAGTGGATACTTCTCGCAGAATGATCATATTTACACTGACTGCACATTGGCTGCATCGCATGCCTTTCAAGCTTGAGAAAAAAAGATAAGATTTGGATCAAAATTTGGAAGTTTGGTGCATCTTCACATGAAGCAGGGCTTCTTGCGTCCAAACCCAAAACAGGTCAGGTATGTGTCTTGTGGGCGCAACTTGGACACGAACCAGTCCAATTCTGTTTACAGAACATGTCCATGTCTGCGTGTTCCCACAGCTCAAGCGTGTGACTATGACATGGCACAGGGAAGGCCAGTGGCAAGAAACTACAATGCATGCAACACCTTCACCTATCACCTGGATCCTGCCTCTCGGTCTTATGAGTTCCTTCATTCTGAGAGCCTCTTCTCGACTAAAGCTTGTGTGCATGATTGTCCATGTCGAAACACCATGAGAGGACGACTTTGCCACGTGGCTGCAAATCAAGGGTGAAACACTGCTTTATGCTGCTTTGGATACAGCTCAAGTGCAGACTTGCCATGCCGGCAATTCTACATTTGCAACAAAAACTTACTTAAAGAACAATGCAATGTCAAACCTCCTTGATACAACTGCCGAGGGAATGTTTGTCATGCTGATTCACAACTCCTGGAAATGGAACGAACTTGAGCACTCAGAGGCATCCCTGAGCAGGGCAGCTTTTGAGATGCGATCGCAGGGTTATTTTTGCTTGACAACCGTTGGGGGCTGCCGCACCGTGGTCCTTTGGTCAAACTGATGTGTTGATCACTGGTTGACGCAAAGGATACCGTCACGCTTCTATGTGTATGTATAAGCTTGTGAAGAGGAAAACCTGGAGATTGGCTGGAAGGTTTGATTTGCCAGCAGCATAACGATTTTGAACGATTGCCACACACACTCAAGGCTGCTGAGCCCCTCTTTTGAGTATCCAGTCAATAAAATTCATAGCAGGAGTTAAAACATAGAAGTAAGTTGCACTTGCCTGTCATTCTCACTCTCCACAAGTGAAAGTATCCTTTCAAAACAATAGCGGTCGCATGACTGAAGGCACCCTCACCAAAGCGCATGATGACCCCTACTTTGAATTGAATGCTTGACTAAGTAAAACAAAAAACTAATTTGCTAGCAGTTCAACTACACCTCCTTGCAATTGCATGAAGGTAACAAGGGTCTCTTCAACTACAGGATGTCCACTATGCATCGGCTCCCCGACCCCAGTTACCACTCGGAGTGCCGGCCACGTTTTGGATGCCTAAGGTCTGCTTGGCCACCTGGAGGTGTGAGATAGAACTTGTGGAAGACACTACTCCGCATAGGCTCAGCTTGGCTGTATTTCTTTGTTTTTTCTATCCAAAGGCTCATCTATTCATGCCACCACCGCATAACTTCCTTCTCTCCAACATGTACCTCAAACCTCAAGACCTTTTAGGCAAAAAACATGAAAACAAAACACAACAACAATAACAGCAACAAAGTAGAACCAAAAACAGCCGCCCAGCATAGTCATCACATGTTGTTACTCTGGAACTTCAAAGGAACAAGGTTAGGGATACGGTGGAATGTTGGCTTCGTACGTAGCTGGACTTGTTGGACTCGTTTCACTGAAGTCTAGGTTGGCTTGTCTTTAATGTGTTTGAGGTGTTGTTCCGGGGGTGCCGGTGTCATAAAACAACAACGGGGCTGCAGTCTTTGTTTTTAGGAGGGGGTGGAGACAGCAACACCTTTAGAGCGGAGAGTCCCAAAAGCCAACCACGGGGCTCCAGCTTTTGTTTCTAGGGTGTGGAAGAGGTTCCACAAGATTGTGATAGCAGTAGTCGTCGTAGTAGTGGTTGTAGGTAGTAGTAGTGGTAGTGGCAGTGGCAGTGGTAGTAGTAGTGGTGGTGTTGTCCTGGTAGGCGTCGTCATAGTAGTGGTGGTGGTGATGGTAGCCTTTGGATTGTTTTCGTCGTGTTGTAGTAGTAGTAGTAGTCGTCGTTGTCGTCGTAGCAGTAGTAGTAGTCGTCGTCGTAGTAGTAGTAGTAGTAGCTGTAGTAGTAGTAGTAGTAGTAGTAGTAGTAGT